CCCCAAAACCCCAAAACCCCAAAACCCCAAAACCCCAATAGGAATACACAAGCTGAATTAGGTGTTAAGAAATATTCATGTTAGCCATAATTTGACTGAACTTCTCCTTAAGCTCTTTCTTCGATCTCTCATTTTCAGTGATAAGCACTTTGTTCTCCTTAATTGCAGTATCAAGCTTTTTCTCTAGTGCAGAGATCTCCTTAGCTTTATTCCTCTCTGAATTCTCCCATTTATCTAGGAACTCCTTAAGCTGTTTGTTTTTAGTTTTTATAAGGGCTTCCTTTTCACTCATTTGTCTTTCCAGAATAAAAATGTTCTCTTCTTTTTCATTAACCTGATTAATTTTGTCCCTCAGTTCGTTCTGAAGTGGAGGTAAATCCTCCTGAATTTGGGCAATGATCTCTCCTTTTTCATTTAGATTATCTTCTAGCTTTTGCTTTTCTTGTTTAAGATTTTGATATTTCTGATAAAGTTGATCATTGTCTTCTTCAAGGTCTTGACACTCTTTATCCCGAGCTTCATAATCTTGTTGAAGTCGTTGATAATTATTGACCTCCTCTAATAGCCTTTCTTCGTATTCTTTCTTGATCCTTTCAACCTCACTGCCTTCTTGGAGCTGGTCTATCTCAGCTTCCTTGATCTTCAAATTCTGCTTTAACTGATCAATTTCAATATTTTTATCATCAAGCATGCGATCTTTAGTAGTACAATTCTGCTTAAGTTCATCATTCTCCTCGGCTAACTTCTCCAGCTCAGCATTAAGAGTTTCAACTTCTTCGTTATAAGTAGATTTGAGGAGTTCGAGTTCTTTCTGGCACTGCACTAACTTCTTCTTGTTCTCAGCTGTAGCAATAACTGAAGCATCATATTCCTCACTCTTTTCGTTCAAGAATCCTTGAACGAGATTGTACTTCTTCTGCAAGTCTTTGATTTTGTAGTCTTGAGTGTCAATTTGGTTCTGGAGATCTATCTTCTCGTTCATTACTTTCTTCTTTTCAGATTCAAATTCCTGCCTGGACTTGGCTATTTCCTCTCTATCCTTCTGGAGTTTCTTGCTGGAAGAATTAATAATATCCCTAAGCTCTTTGATCAGTAAGTCCTTTTTATCAATCTCGATTTTATTTTTCTTTAAATTGTCTTTACTTTGCTGATACTTTTGTGAGACATCCTTTAAAATTGTTTTCAGTTCGGTGCTCCTCTCTTGTTCCTTCTTCAATTGATGTGTGAAGGACTTATCCATCATTTTAACATCTTTTTCAAAGTCCTTCTTCAATGCTGAAATTGCTTCAGAATGAGCTTCTTCTAACTTCTTTAATTCCTCTTGCTTCTGACCTTGAAATTTTTGAAGAATCTCCTGATTTTCTTTAGCAGAGAGGTCATATTTCTTCTTCCATTCCTGATCCATCATCTTAGTGATATCCTTCAGCTCTGTTACTTTAGAGTTCTGCTTCTCAATCGTTCCAGAATATTGTTCCAATTGGTTCAGACTCTGTTCATATTTAGCTTGAAGCCTCTCCCAACTTTTGCTTGCCTCTTGATTATTTGCAATAAGTTCTTTCTGGAGATCACTTACTTTAATCTCTAGCTGCTGGTTTTGGTCTTTCAAGTCTGACTTTCCTCTAGTAAGTTCATCATATTTCTCCTTGTAGTACTTGAGTTCCTTCTGTAACATATTTTTAGTATCTGTTTCTTCCTCCTTAGTGGTCTTCAAGTAAATTATTTCCTTGTTTAGGTCATGAATGGAGTCATCCTTATTATCTCTGAGCTCACGATATCTATCCCTCTCTGATTGGACTGAAGTCATCTTCTTTTCTAGAAGATCTAACTGGAATTTTAGCTCTTTCTTGCCATCACTGATTTCCTTGATAATGTCAGTCTTCTTCTCTAATTCTTGGTTCAGATTCTCTGTGATTTTTGAGTAATGGTCTTGTAAAGAGGCTATCTGAGACACAGCCTCAGATTTGTCATTCTCAAGCTCCTGAAGCTGGTTCTTATGTGAGAGCAGATCATAGTTTAATTTTTGAATCATTTCATCCTTCTCATGAAGCTTTAAAGGAACCTGGACAGGAGTAAAGTCTAGATTCAAAGGTTTCAGAGAGAAAGGAGGTGTATACTCAACCTGTTCTGACTTTCCCCCAGGTTTCGGTGTGATCCATGATTTATGAGACTTTGTGCTTGATGGAGGAAGTGGATAATCTCTAATTCCTTTTTGTTTTAACTCATTAGTAGTGATGTTCTCCTGCTCCTTTACATTCTCACCATCGAGTTCTCTTAAAAATGGGAGATAAGCCTTTGCCACTTCTTCATATTTAGAGTACTCGCATATAGGGTTATCTGTCTTTCTCTTTTTATCTCGAAAATGAACTTTTGTTAAAGTTTTAAATTTTGAGAGGTAAGCTATTTGATCCAAATCCGCTATTAAATTGTCATTCAAGTTAATCTCCTTCAGTGAGTTGACTCGATCACTCAACTTAGTGAAAGGAGATAGGTCCTCGATCCTGTTATGTGAGAGATTTAGAGTGATTAGTTCTCTGTAATTTCCCAAATTTGGCGCCAGTCTTATAGAATTTCAACTCAAATTTAAATAAACGATCTCAGTCAAATTATCAGCTTTATATTGCTCTAGTTGATTATTAGATAAATCTAAGTGCTCAAGAGACTGATATTCTTCCAACCCATCTGTAGAGACTAGATGATTTCAGTGCATGACTTTCAGTGTTTTTAAATTTCTTAGTTCTACAACCTTGGGTTTTAAGTCTTCGATGTTCATGAGTCCTGCTAATGCATAAAAAGTTGAGCTTTGGTCTCCTGCATCACTCATGACATCTCCTATAGAGCTATCAACCTCATCTAAAAGACCTGGGAATCTCTTCTCAAACGATTGGAGGTCATCTTCCCCGATTTCAGCCATTTTATACAAAAATTATAAAGTTTCAATCTAAAAAAGGATGTCAGGGGTTTTGGGGTTTTGGGGTTTTGGGGTTT